ATTATATCGACGTATGAAGCCACTAAAAGGGCATGGTGATGGAAAATAAAAATAAAAAGTTGTTCACTTGCAAAAGTTGTGTTAGTAATTTTTGGTGTCTGAAAAATTCAATTCAAAATTGAAAAAATCAGATTCCCTGTGAATGCCAGCTATAGGTAAATAATTAGAAGAATATCAAGGTGCAGTTTTACAATAGTAAATTAAAATTTTTCCATAAATACCAGTTTACAATATCAAGCAGCATAATAAACTGTTTTTTTTTTTTGTACAGATAAAATAACTGAAAGTAGATGACACCGTAAATTTTGTACATTCAAGTCATAAATGGCCACACCTGCTTTTACGTTAAAAATAAGGTACATACAGAACTTAAAAGTATAATTTTCTAATTGTAATAACTCAATATCCATCACAAAATGGTTCACATACACCATTTATACTGAAGGTTCCCTTTGAATTTGTACTTTCTGAACATCAGGCACAATGCGGAAACATTCCCACATACCAAAACCGCCAACTCGGACCATGACAGCATGACCTTTAGAGTGAGAGAGAGCGGTCTTTATTTTTTTGCAATTCCACTCGGCTCTTCCTTCAGTTCCCATTATAAAGTTTGTGTGAGAGCATATCGACTTGCTGCCTACAACGCTGTTCATTTTACCTTTACAGCCAGAGGTTGGGACCAATGTGGAATGCTAATAGTGTGACATTCTTCTGTGTTCTTTCTCAGGCTTATGGGATATCATGCTATGAGTTCTGCTTATTCACAGTGGCCGGTGTTCTGACGATTTGTGCTACCTGCTCAGATTGTGCTACCCAGAGGCGGACAGTAACTAAGTACACTTTTTGAGTATCTGTACTTTACTTGAGTATTATTTTTTCTGGAAACTCATGACTTAATGTAATAATGTTTAACTTTAACTTCACTACATTTGAAAGACAAATATTGTACTTTTCACTCCACTACATTTTTATGAAGGTCCTCAAAGTAAAAAGTCGTTACTATGTAGCAGCTTTGAAAGTCAGTAGGTGATTTTTTTCTTCTCTAAAACATGACTCTTTTTTTCAGACAGTTTATCAGTAATCACTCTACATGAAGTGATTTCCCAACATTTTTTGAACACTGACCAGTTGCAAATGTGATATTTATTTACAATTCAATAATAAGTTAATATTGTGGTAAATATTAGACACAATATTGTCTGATTTTGCTAAACTGTGTCAGTGAAAATATTACCTATAAAGCCACAGAAGAACTGTTGTGCGTCTCCTAATAAAACACAAAAGGTGTTGGACTTGAAGCAGCACTGCACAGACTGTTCTGTGTATGACATCAAAGTACAGTGAGAGCGATTAGACAGCATTTTTAAAATGTTTGTTTTGATGTCAAATAAGACGGTTGGTGTTTTGCTATTTTGTTAAAGCAGTGTTGCTGTTGTAAAGTTATACAGCTACAGTTGTGTTGCTGGGTTTTATAGCAGGTTTTATTTATTTTTTTTCTTCCTTACTCTGTATTTACAGCAATTTCAGTCTACTCTGTTCAAATGTGGATGAATGGTTACACATAGATGTGTGCACACACTGTCAGAGCTGTGTGAGATCACTACCATCCTGCTTTTGTGGGGGTGGGTAGGGGTGTTCAATAATTATTTTTTATTTTTTTCCCATAGGTTTTTAACATGGGTAGGGGTGTTAATTTTATCGGTCGGTTAATATCACTGCAAACATAACCCTCATGCAAATAAATAATGCAGGTGTTTCAAAGCATCACCATGTATAAAGGGTACAAAGGTTGGCTGGCAACACGAGGCTGGAAGTGATGTACAAACAAACAAGAAAGAAAATAAAACACTGCTAGCCAGTCCGATTCACAACAATCATCAAATCTTAAATTGCGCTGGAAGCATACAGCGCACACATACAGTGGTGTGAAAAAGTGTTGGCCCCCTTCCTGATTTCTTATTTTTTTGCATGTTTGTCACACTTTAATGTTTCAGATCATCAAACAAATTTAAATATTAGTAAAAGATAAGATAAAGATAAAAAGTGTGTGCCCCCTAAACCTAATAACTGGATGGGCCACCCTTAGCAGCAACAACTGCAATCAAGCGTTTGCGATAACTTGCAATGAGTCTGTTACAGCGCTGTGGAGGAATTTTGGTCCACTCATCTATGCAGAATTGTTGTAATTCAGCCACATTGGAGGGTTTTTGAGCATGAACCGCCTTTTTTAAGGTCATGCCACAGCATCTCAATAGGATTCAGGTCAGGACTTTGACTAGGCCACTCCAAAGTCTTCATTTTGTTTTTCTTCAGCCATTCTTCCCTTAATAATAAAAACCTTCATTTAAAAACTGCATGCGTTTACTTGTGTTATCTTTGACTAATATTTAAATTTGTTTGATGATCTGAAACATTAAAGTGTGACAAACATGCAAAAAAATAAGAAATCAGGAAGGGGGCCAACACTTTTTCACACCACTGTACAAGGACCGGCTGGCTGAGGAAATACAACATAAACACTGGAGGAACAGCGATCAAGTAAACCTAACACAAAAAAACAAACAACCAAACACAAAACACAATTAACAACGTTCAAGGAAAAATGACTCTAATTGTTAATTTTTATTTTAATTTCATTAAAATAATAAAAGCAAAACGCTCACAAGTCCTATATAAAAACCTCTGCAATTACCTGCAACACCGCCATCAATCCCGAACTACTTTCCAAAGGTTTTCCAGATCAAAGAAGAATGAGCGTGACCAACAGCAAACAAATCCACGATGTTTACATCTACATTAAAAACATCACATCCTACTTCAATGAAACAAGGCTTTGTTAACAAAACAACCAATGTTCGTTTAGCCTACCTGCTCACCCGGACCATGTGCACAATCAAGCACAGAGGTACTACACATACAGAGGACGGCACAATGTTTGTGTCTGCTCACCCAGACCATGTCCTTGCACAAACAAACAGGGAACTTGAGGGAAGTGCTACCAGACAGCGCGCTTCCACACAAAAAGACCGGACCCAGTTTCTAGGCCTCCCTTCCGATGCCCACTTAAAACTGCATGGCCACACCCTCTACTACTAGCTACCTCCCCGGCTACACTTGTTTCGTCAGTATACCGGCGAATGTGCCTAGCACAACAACGACTGTCCCTCAGGAAGTCTAGGGAAATTGCAGGGCTTTAAAGGACGCGGGCGTCTGTAAATGAGGCTGGACTTTGATTCAGCTCTGCTGGCTGCAACTGTAATCAGTCACCCGAGGCAACACCGTGATTACGGATGACCTTGGATCAGGCAGGAGGCCTGAATAAAACAAATGTGATTGTGGTTTCGACTTTGCCGGTTTGGATCCGTCTTACAGTCTCAGATTTAAAACCGTCCGAGTTTACTAATAATGTCCTCTGTTTTACACAATATCTCAGTATATAAAGTATGTCGTAGAATGCTTTAACAAAACATTACCATGGTTAATATCAGTATGTCATAAGTATTTAAGCAAATTTCCTAAACATACAATAAGTAAAAAAATTTTTTGTAAATTGTTGTTGACTCAAGGCCAATACTGCCATCTAGTGGCACTGTTATTCCACTTTTCTAATTAAATTCCACGTGTAACACATTGCTTGTCTATTAGGGCTGCAGTGTAACTTACAGCGGTAACATTGCTAGTATGGACTGTAATAATTTTATATGTACACGTCACTAATTAATTTAAATGTCACATATTTGGCTGCACCATCATAATTATTTTGCACAAAGAAACCCTTTTTTCGTTGGGTCTCTATTTAAAAAAAAAAACTGCATATTTGGACATAAAAAATTATTTAAAATATATTAAATATTATAAGGGTTTGCGGTGCGTGATCATGAGAAACTAATTACCAATGACTGTAACCTTATTTACACTTTATTTTTTTTTATGATTTTTAAATTATGTATCTTCTTGACTTCTTCTTGTTCTTATTATATGCATATAAACTTAAACAATAGCCAGATAAATGTTCATTCACAGTCATTTTACTGGTTGAAATATGCATAAATAAAATAAAGACACAATAAATAAATAAATAAACAATTACATGAATTAATAAATAAATCCTTGTCGTTTAATGAGAGTAATAATAAAAATAAAAAAACAACATAAATTCGCTACGTCCCCGAATTGGTTGCCTTGCGGAAGTGCGTCACATTGTTTACAACTCAAACGGATACGGGTTATATGTAGGCACCAGCGTAGCCACAAATTCCTTAGCGTGATTTACAGATTTACGAGCACAGTGTCTGTTTTATCTGCTTATGTTTTGTATTAATGTGTCACGTGCGCAGCGAACAAGGTATCTATTCATAACTGCAAATTCACGTCACTGCACAGAAATAAAGTCACGAGTGCCAGTGCACCCTCTAGGTAGGATATACTATATATATATATATATATATATATATATAGGTTAAGACATGTGAAAATAATGTTGTATAGATTTTTTTTTTAAATAGTTGATCTTTTGTTACGGCTGAGTATCTAAACAAACGTAAAATACCACAGACCTGAAGTATTTTGTGGACATTAAATACATATTTATTTGAATATTTATGCAAACATTACAATGTTTAAATGTAATATCAAATATATGATAAAATAAAACAAATCTAGTTAGTCAAGATAATGTATCTCAAAAAGGTTACTTTGCCACTGTTGATGAAGTAACGCTGTGTTGTATGTCACAGGTTCATAAATTTCCTTTTCGGTTTCACAGACAAGAAGTAGTATTTCATACAGAAACTCAGACGCTGTCATTCAGTGTAAGTTATGACAATGTTGAGCAGTAAATCCAACGAAGAGATCAAACGGATGCTGGATGATTACGGAATAAAACACGGTCCTGTGGTCGGTAAGTTAAATTCTTGATTTAAAACCGTCACTATGTGAATGGGATTGTTGCAGCGTCACTGAGATACAATTATAATTTTTTATAAAATATTTAGAATTCGTTTTTATTTGAGTATTTTCCATTTTAATTGTAGTTTGAGTTAACGTTTTAGTATTATTGTTGCTTTTATCATTTTTATTAGTTTTTTTTATTGTTATATAGTTGCCTATATAGGTTTTAAAGGGGTCATATGATGCGATTTCAAGTTTTCCTTTCTCTTTGGAGTGTTACAAGCTCTTGGTGCATAAAGAAGATCTGTAAAGTTGCAAAGACTAAAGTCTCAAAAGCATGTCAATATATTCTGTTACACCAAATACACAAAATAATGATCTTTAAAATAGCATCATATGACCCCTTTAATAATTTAAATTTTAGTTTTAGCTGTTTAGTACATCAAGTTAAAATAAATTAAAATGAGAAGTATTGCTTTGGTAACTACCTAAAATGTTGAAATACTTTATTTTAGTTAATGTTTATTTTATTTCAAGTAACATTTTTTTATAGTTTAAGTTTTAGCTTTAGTTAACTATAATAACCCTGGATTGTTGCTTTTCTTCTTTTTTTCTTCAGGATGTCTTTTTATGGTCTTGCATGTGATTTGTGTATATTAATTTCACCAGATTCCACCAGAGCCCTTTATGAGAAGAAGCTGAGAGAAGCCATGTCTAAACACAGAAGAACCCAAGTTCAATCCGACAGGACATATTACAGGGAAGAGGGTAATGCTTACATGACGATCAACACAAAACACGAGTATCTGTCACAAATCACACCAATGATCTGAATTGCTCACACCTTTGCTTTACAGAGGACGTCACCTATGTTCAGCATCACAGACCTGTGAGTACTAACAACACTTATTAAAACTAGTTTCAAAACTTGTTTATATGCTAACTAATGATTCATTTGTGTTGATTTAGCAACTATATGATGATGTGAGCAACAGGTGAGTCAGCCTGAATATTTGAGCAGTTATGGTAAAACAGTGAAACTAACAAGCTTTTTTTGGTTTATTAGAACGTGGTCTGATTATAGAGGGATGGACTACACAGATGAGTATGATGGCTTTGTTTGTATACAATTATACTGAAAGTGTCACAGTTAGGGGAATTATTTTTATTAAATGTATTAATTTTTTTGAAGGCCTGCTATTTATAGGACTCAAGCTCCTTACCAGAATATGTCACAAGCAAGAAACCTACCGCCAGAGCCTCATATCCAGAAAACACCTGAGAAGACGCGCCTGGTCCCAGTTTGGCTACAGATATTAGTGTTTCTGATCGTATCTGGTCTTCTGTACTTGGTTTATATAAATATGGAATCAGCAGAGCCTGAGAAAAGACTGACGTAGCTCTTCCTTTAGTGATTAAACTGAATGTTACAATTCTAAAACAAGCAAATATTCAGCACAATAGATGTGATTTTTAACATATTGCAGTGCATTTGAACTTCCTAAATCTTGGTTATTTTGTGTGTGATGTTTTATCAAAGTAATAGCCCAACACTGTAACTCTTTTGTGAATATGAAGGAAGTGGGTGTTACAGGATGCACCTGTTGAAAGATTATTTTTAAGATCTTTTATTTTGTTCCTTGGTCAAGATACAATTGTCCATTGTAATGCTGCAGTACATTTTACAGAACTGAAAATTTTAGTCATTTCTTGGGCTCATAAAAGTTTGATATATTACAACTACTACTAGAAAACTTAAAAGCCTTTTTGTATGAATTATATAAGCATATTTTAAAGGTTACAGTTACTGAATTTGGTGTTCATCATTTTACAGTAGGTAATGGTTTTTACATTTGTCTGGAAGCATCACTCTTGGATTTGGGTCATCTTCTGAATTATGTATTTGGAGCCAAATTACATGAATGTCGGAATCAATTGTTTCTGGTGTTTTGTGATTTAAAAAACTACAGGTTTTATTGAAAGGAACTTTTGAGATACACCTGAAAATGTCTTTATTAATAACAAACAGTAAAAACACTATATGCATGTCAAAATTGTGATTTTTGATTTTAATGGCAAAATAAAAGTCTACTAATTGTATTACATGTACCAAAAACTGCAACAAAACAACAACCATTAATTCTACACATTGCAAAACATGGAAGTAACAGGAAGTGACAGCTGTGTTTTTCACACACACCTTTTATTACAATTTGAGAATTTTGCTAATTTACTATTGCTTTTCCTGGTTAAAAATGGAGTGTATATACTGTACTGTAGTGTTCACAACTGTTTTCTTGGCTTAACTAGACAATAGTAGTGCTGCTTAAAATGTTTAGTGTATGCCTATAATCCACACTAAAACTTTTATTACTATTACTGTTATTGTTCCTATTTGTAAATACGGGGATTATTTCCTGTGCTGTTTTAGAAATGTGTTGGAGGATTTGTTCTTTTTCTGCTTAAGCATCACATTAGATCTACTGTATAATGAGTTCAGAGAGCCCACTTTCATTTCAAACAGAACATACGAACAAACCAGGTAAAATACACAATGAAATAATACTTTTATATTCATGTAGTGACTGATAGAGGTTGTTCTTAGGCTGTCTGTCCCTGTTCCCACCTACAACTAACCAAACATTATACACATAAGATCTTTAAAAACAACTGTAGTAGAAAAAAAAAAAAAATATATATATATCATTTTAAATTATATAAAGCCCCTTAGAGAATACAAAGAAACAAAAGAAGAAAACCCAAAACATTTCACAGTTTTACAGTCTATACCTGCAACGATATGGGAAGACCTCAGGACGGGTCAGACATGGTACCTCTAAAAATTAAAAAGCCCTTTTTAACCTTGTTAGTGCAACAGCTTGTGTTGTAATGTTACCTCTTCAAGTCTAGTGATTTCAGCATTTACTTGCACAGAAAAAAATTCTCCAATCTCCAGTAACATTGAAAGAAACCCCCCCCAACCAATGACAATTCAAATGTGTTTCTCTGTAACTGACAGAGAACAGCAGATAGTAAGAAAAGGTGGTTCTTCCATGGTAAAAATCTGTGGTTCTTCAAACCGAGACGTTCCCTTTGGTTTGAACAGGCCACTGAAACGCCAACCTCAGGTGGACCAAGTGACTAGTTTCTAGTTGCTGAAACAACAAAAACATACAAAAATCCACACACAGATGTTACTTTCTGATTCAGTGTCTGTGCTTTTTTTCTCCTTAAGTAATGAGCAATAAAAACTAAAGTTTAAACTAGAGTTTTAATGCCTTTACACCTGCACTCGTCAACATTGGTGCTAATCGTTTCATTTCCGACTGTGAAACACTAGCCCGGACCAGAATTGTCATCTTGTAGACAAAGAAATTTCTGCCCAAAAAATTCAAATCACAAGAGTAAGCTGTACATTGTATGTGCACAGTTAGAACAATCGGGCTGTGCATGTACAGTATATCATGTACTGTACTGCTGACGAAATTTGCGTCACGCACGCAAGCATAAAAACTGAAGTATACTTTGGGCTTTGTTCAAGTGCTTGTTGGCACAACAGATACACAATTTATAATTTATCACACCTTGTTGTGTTGTGCCTGATTAGGAAAAAACTCACCCCCTCCCAAAAAAAAAAAACTATACAAAAACAATCAATAACAACACAAATAAAAACAAAACTAAGCCAAAACAAAACTCACATTACCTTCTTTTTGAACTCCCATTACTTGATTGTCAAGGCAATGTATGTGTTGTCAACACCTGTAATAAAAATATAACTTGTCAGAAAAAGAAACACAAACTATTAAATATTTTTTTAAATCACATAGCTATACTCACAGGTCCTGCTCTCTCGCTCCAGTTCAGTGGGTTTGCTCACTCTCTTACAGTAAACTTTGGCAACAATCAGAATGGCACATGTCGCCACCACAAATGTCAAACCGGATACCAGTAAACTGATGACCACTGGGCTTATCACCGGATCCACTTCTACTTCAAAAAAACAGCAAACCAAATTAAGGTCAAATGCATAAATGTCCTTAAAGTAAAGTAAAACTGAAAAAGCGACAGATCACAGATCTTTTCTTCAGTATTGTGAAGTAAATGCAAGTGAATTGAAGCTTGTTTCTGCCACGGGATAAAAAAGGTAATTGCGACTTTTAAACCTCACAATGCTTTTTTCCGCTCATAATCAGAATTTATATCTCATAATTCTGACTTTTTTCCCCCTCATAATTCTGTTTACATCTTGCAATTCTGACTTTTTTCTCAGAATTCTAAGTTTGTATCTCACAAATTTCTGTGTTCTTGTAAAATATTTAATTGTGAATTTTATCTCACAAAATAGTCCGACTTGTGAGATAAAAAGTTTTTATTCTGTGGTGTAAACAAGCTTCCATATGTGACCCTGGACCACAAAACCAGTCATAAGGGTAATTTTTTTAAAATTGAGATTTATACTTTCCATTGATGTATGGTTTGTTAGGATATGACAATATTTGGACGAGATACAAGTATTTGAAGATCTGGAATCTGAGGGTGCAAAAAAATTAAAATATTGAGAAAATCGCCTTTAAAGTTGTCCAAATGAAGTTCTTAGCAATGCATGATCACTTCCGGAATCTACGCCACTTCCTACCATGCACTCTCCAGTCACAGATCAGCTGTTGCCAAACCGCCTCCTCTTCGCCCGTCTCGACGTCCGATTCGTGAACGAATCAATCTTTTGAATCGGATCTTTTCGCTAAAAAACTTTCCGAACAAACTGAATCAACAGAACGAAACAACTCACAAGAGCATTTGCAGTGAAGCGCGGATTTGACTGATGGTGAGAAAAGTTACTTTTTATTGTACGTCTAAATTTTGTACCACGAGTTTGTTTTAATAAATGACTTATTAAATTACAGCTAATATTTAAACACCAAAAACTGTTATTCAGGCTAGATTTAAATGAATGTTAAATGCAGATTCTATCTCGCTTCTAAATGACTCATTCTCATTAGCTGAAACATGGCAAATGACACATTAAATGACATAAACACCCTTATTAATAAACAGCATGTATTGGAATGTAACTGGCCACCAGGGTGTCCAGGACTACGTGATGACGTATACGTCGGACGCACAAGAATCACGGAATTGTCTTTTTAACTGATTCTTTGAAATGAACTGTTCATATGAGTCGATTCGAAGTAATGAGTCAGACGTCCCATTATTCAGATGAGGAGAATGTAACGTTACTGTAGGTGTTTTTTTTTTTTTTTACAGTTCTACGACGTTGCGCAAGATCTGCGCACAAAAACGTTCACGCTGATTTGCTTCAAGGCTTAAAACAATTTTAGGCTTAGACGTGGAAAAATAATACACTCAGACACAATTTAATGACACCATAAATTTAAATATCACCCAGCTATGAGATCTACAGTATTACAATTTTATGAATCCAACTGACAGTTAAAATATCATCAATTAGTATTAGCTGGAACATTAGAACCATAACTTTTACATAAGACTGCTTTGACAACTATTCAGGGGTAAGAATTTATGTGAATAAGCTTGTGGCGACATCATGTGGATAAAATGATAATTACAACACTTACAGCTTTATTCTCCAAACCACTTACCCTCTGTAGTCTGTAGGGTCGCGACGCGTGTACATTTTACTAGTAATAATAATACATTTGTTACCGTATTTATTAAAATACTGTAATAAATATTTGTTAAAACGAGTTAATAAAAATACAACTGTTCATTCATCGTCAGTGTTAGCTCAGGTCCAGCTTTACAACAGATAAAATTTTTGACTTTAATAATGCATTAATAAATGCTTGAAATTAACATTAACATGAATAAATGTTTTAGAAGTATATTTCATAGTTCATGTTAACTACAGTAGTTAACTAATGTTAACAAATACAAACTTATTGTAAAGTGCACCTGATATTAACACTATTGAGATTTTACATACAATACAGTGTTACAGAAAACTACAGCTTAAAGATTTATGTAAAAAATAAATAAATTAAACGAAACAAAAATAAACAAATAAACATTCATAAATAAATAAAAACCCACACAATGATTTAATTTACTCGGGTTGTCTTCACAAACACCTTTGTTGTGTCATGCGAATATGTTTGTGAATAACGTTTAATTCCAGATACTAATTTAGAGACTTTAACCCAGAAAACAAGAGTTCAACGGCTCAAACAAACTTGTTCCTGGTTGATTTCACGTTCCCTATTCAAATCGTGCAACTTCTAAATAATTTCCCTCATTTTAATTAGATCCCAGACCCAAATTCACATAGTTTAGATATTGTGAGGGTGACCCCACTATTACCTGGAACCAGGTTATCACTTTAATGATATTTCTCGTTTGATAATATTAAAGTAAAAATTGAATAACAATAAAATTAAATAATAAATATTAAAAAATTCACTTTTAATGATGACCAAAACAGGTTTATTCAACTATTTATAGCCAAATCGCTATATCTGCATCTTTCTTAAGAAGTGCAGGAGTTCAGGAGTAGTTTTCAGCCCATTCACGTGCATCATTCCGAGCACAACAGTTTCTTCTCTCACCGACCTACTTCTGTTTAATTGGATAAGCATTCAGTCTCTACCGAGAGAGAGAACGAGAGCGAGACCGGCTGGACCCACACCGTGCAAACCGTTATCCACCTGCACGTTCCTCGCTGACGTCATGGCGGGGGGGATAAAAGAAAAACCGTCGCGCTGTTCTGTTATGACGTTATAAAGCGCACTTTGGAAAATTTCCTCGCGACAGCGCCTCATAACATGCACGGAGTGTCCCACGGCAGCGCAGGCGAACAACAGGTGGATTCCGAGGCCAGTCCAGAAATTTTATCTCACAAAATAGTCCGACTTGTGAGATAAAAAGTTTTTATTCTGTGGTGTAAACAAGCTTCCATATGTGACCCTGGACCACAAAACCAGTCATAAGGGTAATTTTTTTAAAATTGAGATTTATACTTTCCATTGATGTATGGTTTGTTAGGATATGACAATATTTGGACGAGATACAAGTATTTGAAGATCTGGAATCTGAGGGTGCAAAAAAATTAAAATATTGAGAAAATCGCCTTTAAAGTTGTCCAAATGAAGTTCTTAGCAATGCATATTACTAATCAAAAATTAAGTTTTGATATATTTATGGTAGGAAATTTACAAA